GCAGCCCTGTCGCCAGCATCTCCCCGGTGGTGTGCGCCAAGCGGCAAGCGCAACATTCCCAACACTGCCCGCACACACTCTGTCAACAGCACAAGAGAACGAGTCTCCCATGCCAAAACAAGAGTCTGCGCAACACAATGCCGAAAACAGCACCCATGCCAAAGACCACATAACAAAGCCACCGCATCGATAAATTCCTCAGTCCCGCGTGCGACAGAAACATAAATAGCAGATGCGCCACGCACAAGGGCGCCCTCGCATCGCCGTCTCTCACACACAAAACTCATGCTGGCAGACACGCCCCGCGAGTGCAGGCAGCGCAGCACACAACAACAGCAACGCAGCGGCGCATATGTGCAACAAGTGCACACAAAACACCCCCCGCACCACTGTTATGCACAACACCAACCCTGATCACAAGGCGCGCCCAGTCTCTGCTAGCTGCAAGCGATTCTCTGTCAACGGTTTCACGTACTGTTTAACTCTCTTTTCAAAGTGCTTTTCATCTTTCCCTCACGGTACTTGTTCGCTATCGGTCTCGTGCCAGTATTTAGCCTTGGATGCAGTTTACCACCCGGCTTTGGGCTGCATTCCCAAACAACCCGACTCAAGAGAATAAACGGACCACACACCGCACATCAGCGCAAATAATGTAGCACCAACGGGACTCTCACCCTCTCCGGTGTCCTCTTCCAAGGAAACTCGGTGCTGCGCCAAACAACAATGCACATTGCGAACAACATGCACCATCACAAAGACATGCGACGGCCCGCATCCCATAAAGACTACAACTCGCCACAATATGAAAGAAGCTTGTGGAGATTCCAATGCTTGAGCTCTTCCCGCTTCACTCGCCGTTACTGAGGGAATCCTTGTTAGTTTCTCTTCCTCCCCTTAGTGATATGCTTAAGTTCAGGGGGTACCCTTGCCTGACCTGAGGTCAACAATGAGAAATGAGTAGAGGGGGAGGTGTTTGAGAGAGAGTGATAGAAGCGGAGTGGTGTAAATGGATGGATGCAGTCGTTTGTGCGCATACACTGCAACAAGTGCAGTGCAGTACACACAAACAGTGCTCCGTCCATCACAATTCCAGCTTTCCTCTCCCTGTCAAATAGTTTCCCTCTCTTCTTCATCAGTGTTTTTGCTCACATGACCAGTGTCACAAAAGCCACATAAAGATTGCAAGCACACAAGTGCACATGCCTCTACACACACACGCACAGCATACACACACGCTGCAGAACAACGATGCCAGTTGACACATCGCTCCACAGCTTGTTGTATCCTGATGCATATGCAGATACAGCATGCGTGTGCTTGCCGTGGTCTCGCAACAACGGCACCCACACAGCGACACTGAGTGATGACAACAGTATGAGAGTAGAAGTGGGATGTGTGTGTGAGTGAATCACGTCAACAGCAACAACACAATGCACAAGGCATCGTATCATCGTGCAGTGCAATCCACATGCTCACACACAGACACCCACTCCTTCTTCATCACAGTCATCACCATCACAGTTATCATCGCAATGGAGTCGTAAGCTCTCCTCTTCAGGGTCCAGTCTCACACAATACACACACACAGCAAAAATGTGTGTGTGCACGCATCGACTAACACCCCATGGCCACCAACAATGCACAGTGTGCAATTGAGATATGAGTACATGCATCATGGGCATTTCTTCTTACTGCTTACAAGCAACAAACAAACACCACACCAACACAGGTGCGCTGCTGCTGCTGCATAGTTGCAGTAATCAAATACACCCACACACACATACTCACACCCTCATAGGCACACAAAAACGCATTGTCAATGAGATTGAGTGGCGACACTCAGGCAGACATGCCCGCACGCACAGACACGCACACAATGGCGCATGCCCACACACACAGGCGCAATGTGCGTTCGAAGATTCAATGATTCACGGAATTCTGCAATTCACACTACATTTCGCGTCTTGCCACGTTCTTCATCGATGCACGAGCCAAGAGATCCACCGTTGAAAGTTGTCTCATGGTTTTTAATTTGGTTGTGTTGAATGAGATGTTGAGATTGAGATCAGAGTGGTTGCAGTGCATGTGCGAATGTGTGTACTCCAACGCACAATGTTTGTTGGCACACACTCACACACACATCACAACGCTCTCTCTCGCTCTCTTTCTCTCACTCAATCGTTTGTGGTTATCATGTATGTACGTATGTCCACAGCACAGCACACGTCTTTTGGCTGCTGTTGCTGTAGCAAGATACTTTCGCCCACACTGTCGTGTGTGCGCAATCGCAGCCGCTGCCACAACAACAATCCAAAACACTCTTGCTTGCTGTGTTCATTTCTTCTTCTTCTTTGCACGAGGCAAACAATATAACATTGCACACACACACAAGAACACCGCCATCGCAATGCAACACACACACGTATGTGCTCCACTGCGACACACACAATGCTCATGCACGCATGCACATGCTTATGCTTTGTTTTTGTCTTCATTCACACAATGCTCACTCCCACACACACAAAAGCGTGTGAGAGCGATTTGGTCGGTTGGTTGGCCCAGTTGGCTCGGTTGGCTCGGTTGGCTCAGTCCAGTGTCTCCACCTTCCCTTGCCATCCCTCACCAATTTTCACCATCCCTCACCAACCACGCTTTTCAGCGTTTTCCTTGTTGGAATGATCCTTCCGCAGGTTCACCTACGGAAACCTTGTTACGACTTTTACTTCCTCTAAATGATCAAGTTTGACCAGGTTCTCAGCAAAGAAACACATGGGCAGCTGTTGCCAGCGCCCACGCGCCAATCCCGAGGCCTCACTAAACCATTCAATCGGTAGTAGCGACGGGCGGTGTGTACAAAGGGCAGGGACGTAATCAACGCAATCTGTTGAATTGCGCTTACTAGGAATTCCTCGTTCAAGATGAATAATTGCAAGCATCTATCCCCAGCACGACGGGTTTTCACAAGAGTCCCCACGCCTTCCAGCGCAGGAATAGATGTTTATGAATGCAGAAAGCACAAGACTTTCCCCACCACAAACACCCAAAGCATACTCGCTGCCCCCGTCAGTGTAGCGCGCGTGCAGCCCAGAACATCTAAGGGCATCACAGACCTGTTATCGCCTCAAACTTCCTTCGGCTTACGCTCAATAGCAACGCCGAGTGTCCCTCTGAGTGGTGTGATGTGAGGAGTGCTTTCGCACAGCCCCACCAAGAAAGCGCACGCTTCCCTACACCAATCAGCAAGTCAAGGTCTCGCCGTTTACCGTAATCAAACAGAGATTTCACAACAAAGCTGGACGGCCATGCACACCTCCCTTGGAATCAAGAAAGAGCTGTCAATCTGTCAATCCT